ATACTAGGACTCCATTATCAGGGTTCAATATGGTGTCCAAACAAAGCCCAAACCTTGCCTTTGAGTCAGTTCTGATTCAATAGTAATCTCATGTGCTTCTTGGCTTTAATCTTTACAGAGCAGCACTGGACTGTTAACTGCATGGTAAGTGATTCAAACCCACCAGCTGCTCCTTGGAAACCCAATACAGGGTCACTGTAAGTCAGAACTGACTCAACAGCACTTAACGACAACAACAACAATCTTTATGGAAGAAGGTTGGTGGGCCTTTCTTCGAGAAGATGTTCTGGGTGGGTTGGAACCACCAACCTTTCAATCAGTAGTCAACTGCAAACCATTTGAACACTCAGGGACCATTCCTTTTCTGTTGTTGTTAAGTGCTATCGAGTTGCTTCCAACTCATAGCAACCCTGTACAGAGTTTATGAGGATCACCTGGTGGGTTTGAATTGCCAGCCTGTGGTTTGCAATCCAGTGTTGATCCTATAGCACCAAACCAGGCAAAGCTGAATAAATGAGATAATGATTTCATTTCCTTTCTTCTCTTGAAACACACCCTATCAGGGGGTGTCACAACAGCTCCTCTAGGTAGGGTACAGGTGAAAGAGTTTTGGAGAAAGATGGGAATTACCAGAAAAACCTCCTTGAGAAACCAAGAAGCAGGGGGCAGGAAGGTTGGAGAATACAAGCTAGGCTAAGCCAAGTTATTTTCATTTCATTGGAAGTTAAGGAACAGAACTGCTTTCCAAAAATAGCCAAGCAGAGTCATCAATGTCCAAAGAGCTGAAGCTAGTGAGCATAGTCACAGTTCCAGACCCTGGAGGACAAAGACACTCATCTCTCCACTCCAGTCCAGCTGGACTGGACCCCAGCTCCCTCCCTCTTCTCTCAGAAGTGATCAAAAAGCTGCCACCCTTTTCCTGGGCCAACATCACATGAGCCACAGAGGTCAAGGAGTGGGGGAAGGCAAGGGCTATGAAAGGGACAATGTAACAATGTAACTTAGAGGAAGAAGGATGGGTTTGGGCCTTGGGTAGATCCTAGTTCTGTCACTTATAATTCTGTGAGGCAGACAGGTTACTCAACAGAGGCCATCTGTAAACTGGCAAGAATTCAATGAGATACATGAACCACCATTCATCGGTCAGTTTATCATACTGTGGTGGCTTGTGTATTACTGAGATGCTGAAGCTATGCCACTAGTATTTCAAACATCAACTGGGTCATCCATGGTAGGCAGGTTTCAGTTGAGCGTCCAGACTAAGACTGACTAGGAAGAAGGTCCTAGTGTTTTACGTCTAAAAACATTGACCTTAAGAATAACAGCAGAGCTTTTTACAAAGACGGCACTGGAAGCGAAGAAGGAAGCAAGCCCCTGCCCCTCCCAAAGCTGAAGACAAAGCTAAGGCATGGGAAGCCAAGAAGGCCGTGCTGACAGGCATCCTCAGCCACAAACAAAAAAAGAAGATACGCAAGTTACCCACCTTCCAATGGCTCAAGACACTGAGGTTCCAAAGGCACCTCAAATACCCTCAGAAGAGCCCTCCCAGGAGAAAAAACCTTGACCACTCTACTATTATCAAGTTGCCTCTGATTACTGAGGCAGAAGATTGAAGATAACAGCACAGTTGTTGTGTTCATTGTGGAAGTCAAGGCCAACAGCAGCCAATCAGGCAGGCTGTGAAGAAGCTCTATGGCATTGACATAGCCAAGGTTAACACCTTGATCAGGCCTGATGGAGAAACGAAGACATATATTCAAATAGCTCGACTATGATGGTTGTTGCCAGCAAAATTGGGATCATCCAAACTGAGTCCTGCTGGCTAATTATAAATATAAATTTTGTTGTTGTTGTTAGGTGCCATGGAGTTGGTACCAACTCATAGCAACCCTATGCACAACAGATGAAACACTGCCCAGTCCTGGGCCAACCTCACTATTGTTGCCACACTTGAGCCCATTGGTGCTGACACTTTGCTAATCCACCTCTCTGGGGGTCTTCCTCTTTTTCTCTGACCCTCCACCTTACCAAACATGACATCATTCTCCAGCGACTGGTCCCTCCTGACAAAACATCCAAAGTATGAGAGATGAAGTTTGACCATCCTGGTCTCCAAAGAGCACTCTGGCTGCACTTCTTCCAACACAAACTGTTGGTTCTTTTGGCAGCCCATGGTACTTTCAATATTCTTCTCCAATACCATAACTCAAATGCATCAATTCTTCTACAGGGAACACTGAGACAGGTTTGCATGGCTTAAGAGGGATAGAGCTAAATAGTGATGCATGCTTAACCTTGGAACAACAGGGGTCTGTGATACAGGGATCTAAGTATAGTTTGACGAGGGTAAATAATACTAAAATGTTTGACTGTCTTATGAATATTGGTTTCCCTTATCTACTATTGTAAAATAGACACTTGAGTGAGATAGAAAGGAATGTTGGGAAACATGATTACAGAAAATTTGTAAGCCCATCTTCAGCCTGTAACTGATTAGAATAACTAAAAGGGGTTCTAGAACTTGCCCAGTGAAATAGGCCTCTTGCAAAGCCTTTGCAGAGTACAGGACCTTAGGTGGAATCCTGAGTCACATCCAGAACGTTCTGAGGTGGGACATTCCCACTAGCAAGGACAAGCAGAGCAGCCTGGAACAGTTAGAGCAACAGAAGATACATCTTCAAAGAAAGATCATCAGGAAAAACCCAAAACAAAAATGTCAGCATGACTGGCAACCACAAAAATAAGCAAGCTGTTCTCCAAGAACCATCAAGGCTAGCAATCAAGCTCCTTCAGGACAAACTCCCCTCTAAGACTGAAACTCAAAGGGAACATGCGAGTAAGCATGTAAGCTTAATGGTGACCACATTGATCTACTGGTGAGTGGAAGAGGGGGAAAGGCCACAATGAAGAAATGGGCTCAGTTCGACCACAGTCCATAGACTTCTGTTGACCTGGAGATGAGAGAAAGAAGAGGAAGGGCTGGTTAGTCCAAAGTGTGGTGAGACCTGGGGACACTTGAGCCCATGGACAAGGACATAGCCACAGAGGACTAAAGCTGAGAGTGAAGCACCCAGCAGAAATGAAGTGAGGGGAGTTGCACAAGAACACCCAAACCTGCAAACAGTACCCATTTGATCTAGTCTCGATGGCTTGATAATCAGAACTTGACTAGAGGAAGATTAAAAAAAAAATTTTTTTTTTGATAAAGGAAACAAGGGTAAATTGCTACAATTTGATGAACCTGACCAATACTCATGGAGGTAGTAACTCTAAACACCAACAGAGAGGGAAGGAGTCTTCATATCAAGTACCAATGCTATCCCCTCTGTACACAGGGTAGATAGGGAAGGGCAACTTAGACATTGGCTACCTAAACTGAGGGGACCATAAAGGCACGAAGTGACTGACTGGCTTACAAGGTTTAAAGAGGAAGTTTAGTTTAAGGGAGGGGGGGAGAAGGGGAGAAAGAGCCCCCACTGAATAGTTTTCATCTTGTCTAGATGGGTCTGGTGAAAAAGAGATGGGAATAAGATTCATATGATTCAATGTGAATAATTGTTATCATGACTAATTGTGACTCTCACAATTGTAAAGGTAGAAGTTTTGTAACAAAAACAGGGGAGTTGTTAATCTTACAGTCCAGAAACAGAGGCCCCTAGGACCATCAAGGGAGAGGAGCACAAGCAGAATGCAGGATCTTATCCAGAGAAGCAGCGATGGAGTCATGGAGAAGGGGGAGCAGCTGAGGACTGTAGATTCATGGGAAGAGAGAGACTAAGAGCTGGTGGCCAGGAGGCAGGCTTGCAGAATGCGCCCTTCAGAGGTATAAATTATTATATATGCCTGAGTGTTGTTGTTTTTTAAAAAAAGCTAAAGTGAATAGAGAGAAATACAGTTAACTGATGGTACATGGAGGGGATTATAACCATTGTAATGAAACAAAGAAATAATTTATTGAATGTAAAATTGATGATCTGCCCTGTAAACTTTCACTCAATTCACAATAAAAATGTAGGGGGGAAAAAAAAACCAACAGAGAGAGAAAGAGAATAACAGCAGAACATTGCCTGATTTAGTCCTGATGACACAGCTTTGCTTGCTGAAAGTGACGAGGATGTGAACACTTATTTATGAAGAGCAAAGACTACATTAGCCTTCAGTGTGGATTGCATCTTAACACAAAGAAAGCACGTGTCCTCTGGACCAATAGGCAGCATTGTGATACACGAAAACAAGAAAGATTGAAGTTATCAGAAATCTGTTTTACTGAGGTCAACATTCAATGCCCATGAACGCAGCAGACAAGATATCAAATGGCTTTTTGCACTGGGCAAACCTGCTACAAAAGACTTTAGTAAAGTCCTGTAAAGCAAAGATGTCATTTTGTGGACTGAGGTGCGCCTGACCAAAGCCATGGTATTTTCGATTGTTTCATATGCAATTGAATGCTGGACAATGAATAAAGAAAACAAAAGAAGAACTGATTCATTTGAACTATAATGTTGGTGAAGAATATTGAATATAATTGACTGCCAGAAAAACTAACAAATTTGTCTTAAAGAAATACAGCTAGCATTCTCCTTAGAAGCAAGGATGGCAAGACTTCGTCTTATCATACTTTGGATGTGTTATGAGGGACCAGACCTGGAAGAGGGTATCATGCTTAAAAAATATTGAGAGTCAGTGGAAAAGAAGCACACCGTTTACAAGATGAGTTAATTCAGTGACTACAACAGTGGGCCCAAGCAAAGGAACAACTGTGAGGACCGTTTATGAGTAGGGTCGATAGGAGTCAGAACCTATTCAACTGCAGCTAAAAACAATGTGTATATAAAGTAGGTGGCACATGGCAGGCACTCTGTAAACAGCAGCTATTATTTCATCATTATTACTGCATGTAAACCCATCCTGACTTTGTTCCAACAGCTGACCAGATTATCATTTACGTTACAATAACTAACAAGTGTTGTCATCAGCAGGTGCAGATGTGTGATTCCAGAATGGTGTCTGCCACAGATAGGAAGTCACCCAAAGCTCTTGGTGCAGTGTCTTGGCAGCAATGTGATCTGAAGATGGCAGCCAGAGCACTCTGGGGCAGCCTGGGCCTGCTCCGCGTGGTATGGTGTCTCCTTCCGCAGACAGGCTATGTGCACCCAGATGAGTTTTTCCAGTCACCTGAGGTCATGGCAGGTAAAGCTCCCCAGAGGTGGTCAACATAAGTTGCAGCAAAGTCTGGCTGCATTGCTATCTGGATATTGAGTGCAGGGGAAGAAGCATGCTTGTGCATGTGACAGTACATGCATGAGCTGAGCCACAGCCTCTGTGGAATAAGACTTGGGGGTGGGGACTTCATCCCGCCTTCCTGAGTGACGACATGCCATAAAGACACCAGAGTCTTTGGTGTTGTCCGGCCATTACCAAAGCACTCAGCGTTCCAGTTTTCTCAAGGCCACAGGGGTCAAAGCCCCTGACAGCTGTCATAGGTGTGTGGGTTTGGCATCTGCACAACATGGATCATTCAGAAAGGAAGCTGCATTGGGCTTCTGGGTGGAAGGACTTTAGCTGTGGTCCCAGACAATGAACCTGTTATTTATAGATTAATGTGAGGGAAGTGAGACCTGGGATGCTCACTTGTTAGAACGTAACTACTGAAGGGTGTAGAGTATACCCTGAAGATGGTTTCCAGGCTGGAAACTTAAGATGCTGTGAACACACAGCTTCCTCCTCATGGTTCAAGATGGCAGATGGAGCTCTAACCACCAAGTCTACTCTCCAGCCAACAGAAAGGAAATGGGCATCCCTGTTCCCTTTAAGGACATTAAAAAAAAAAAAAAATCACATTTGTCCCTTACATGAGACTATCACTTTCCTTTCACTTATATCCTGTTGGTCAGAATGTACCAAATGACCACATCTAGCTGCCAGAGAAGCTGTGAAAAGTAGTCTTTATACCTAAAATCAAGTGTCCAACTAACCAGAGGGCTTCTGTGACTAACGAAGAGGAAAGAGTGGGCTTTGTGGAATGTGAAGTGGCACTCTCATAAACACTGGACTGCAAGGGTGGTTTGAACTTCACCAGCCACTCCTCTGAAACCCTAAACAGTGTTGCTATGAGTCAAAACCAACTCCATGGCACTTAACAATAACAACAACTTCTGTTCTGGGTTCACTTAGTGTCACAAAGAGCTCACCGACCATACTTACAGTTAAGAGATTTATTAAGAAACAGGGTACGACTTGGGATCCGGATCCAGGGGCTACACCACAGAGTAGGATCAGGAAGTATGTATGTCCCTTCTTCAGTGCACTAAAGCTCTCTTGGCTCCTCTGTCAGCATGCAGGCCTCCTATCAGCTCTGCTGCTGAGCCCCTTCCACAAGCTATCCTCAGTGCTACAGCCTTTGACTCGTGTTACAGTTCTTCTAGGAGATTCCTTGCTTCCTGTCTCTCTCTGCTTCTGCTTTCTCCTGTTGTTGCTTTTCATGCTTCAAAAACCTCTGTAGGGTTCGATGCATATATACACAACTGCTTGTCAGTTTGAAGGCATGGCCTCTCCCAGCAGTAGGACCACAAAGGGACCAATCTCCTCTTAGTAGAACTAGTTCTAAATAACCAGGAATATTATCAAGGATGAGAATCTGTGGACTATGGGGCTTGGAGTTGAGCTGCAGAAACTGAGTTTTGTTTCCCTAAGGTCTCCCCCATCCCCTTCCCTCTGAGTTCTGGGATGTTGGGGCATAGGGTCCCAGACCAGCCCAGGACAGCAAGTTTTTGTTTTGTTTGTTTTTAATTAAAGAAGTACGGCTTGAGCAAATTATATTCTTCTTATATAAAAAAAAATAACTATCATGGAGAAAACAGAAGTCTCCTTGTTGTTCATTCCCTTCCTCCAGCCCCACACACCCTCTCTTTGGATCTCAACCATTATCACCAAGAAGAGTTTTGGGGTCTGAATTTTGAGATCACTTTAAAACTCTGAGTAGATAAATGGAGTCTCACCCTGCCTATCCCTACACACCCAATCCCTGGCACAGTGTCACCTTATCTCCCAGGGCGGAGCCTCCTGTTCCCTTTCAAAAGGAGGCAGGGGGTGGGGTTCTGAAGGGCTGTGCTCCTCTGCTTCATTTCTATGCTACGTAATTTGTTGTTGTTGTTAAGTGCCATCAAGTTGGTTCCAACCCATAGCGATCCTGTATAGTTTCCTAGGAGCAGCTGGTGAGCTTGAACTGCCAATCTTGCAGTTCAAACTGACTTTGTAGTCCAGAGCATTAACCCACAGCACCACACCAAGACTCCATGCTACGAAATAAATCACCAAAAATTTAGCAGCCTAAAGGTACCCCTACCTTGTTGGCTCACAGTCCTGTAGGTTAGACATCTAGCATGACCCAGGGGGGCACTCTGCTCTGGATCTCACAAGGCTGCAACCAAGCTGTGGGCTGGGCTGAATTCTTGTCTGGAAGCTCTAGGGAAAATCTGCTTCCAAACTCATTCTTATTAACCATTGGCAGAATTTAGTGGCTTGTCACTATGGGACTTGGGTTCCGTTTCTTTGTCTGGGGCTGTTCTCAGCTCCTAGAAACTGCCCACATCCTGCCAATGGCCCCTCTCCCTCCTCAAGCCAGCAATAATGGCATGTCAAATCCTCCTCTTGCTTTGGACTTCTGACTGCCTCTTCTATCACCAGCTGAAGAATCTCTTATGTGATTAGGCTAGGGACCTGTTCTTAAAGTCAACTGAGTCATATAATGTAATCATGGGAGAAAAACCCATGATATTCACAGTCCAAGGGATTATGCAGGACTTGAATACACAGTGGTTAAAGTGCTCAGCTGCTAACCTAAAGTTCCATAGTCCTACCCACCAGCCACTCTGCAGGAAGAAGAGGCGGCAGTCTGCTTCTGTAAGGATGAAACCCTACAGAGCAGTCTACTGTGGCCTATAGAGTTGCTGTGAATTGGTACAGACTTGACGGCAATAGGGTTTGGTTTGGGACACACTATGGCAAAGAGCCTGGGTGATGTAAATGGTTTCCACTAGTTACTAACCTAAAGGTTGGCACTTAGAACTCACCCGGTGCCACCATAGAAGAAAGAAGTGGTGGTCACTGCTGCTGTTAGGTGTCACCAAGTTGATAACGACCCCATGTGACAGGAGAGAATTGCTCTGTAGAGTTTTGAAGGCTGTAATCTTTATAGGGGGGCCCTGAGAGCATAGTGGATTATGAGCTAGGCTGCTAACTGAAAGGTCAGCAGTTTGAATCTACCAGCTGCCCTGCGGGAGAAAGATGAGTCTTTCTGCTCCCGTAAAGATTTACAGCCTCAGAAACCTATGCAGAGTCACTATGAGTCGGAACCGACTCCACGGCACACCACCAATCTTTATGGGAGCAAATTTCCAGGTCTTTACCCACTGGGAAGGTTCTAACTGCCAACCTTTCAGATAGTGGCCAAGTGCTTAACTGCTGTGCTACCAAAGCTTGTTGTTGTTGTTGTTAGGTGCCATCAAGTCAGTGCTTGAACCCATTACTGCTGCCACTGTGTCAATCCATCTCATTGGGGGGGGGGGCGGTCTTCCTCTTTTTCGCTGACCCTTCTTTTTACCAAGCATGATGTCCTTCTGCACGGACTGATCCCTCCTGATAATATGTCTGAAGTATGAGAGACAAAGCCTGGCCATCTGGCTTCCAAGGAGCATTCTGGCTGCACTTAGTCCAACACAGATTGGTTTGTTTTTCTGGCAGTCCACAACTTCACTTTTAATATTCTCCTCCAACACCATAACTCAAATGCATCAGTTTTTCTACAGTCTTCCTTATTCATGTCCAAATTTCACATGCATAGGAGGCTACTGAAAATACCATTGTTTGGATCAGGCATACCTTAGTCCTCAAACTGACATCTTTACTCTTGAACACTTTGAAGAGGTCTTGTGCAGCAGGTTTGCCTAATGCAATCTGTTGTTTGATTTCTTGACTGCTGCTTCCAAGATGACTTCATTTTGCTTGAACCCAGGGCTTCTTATTCTGTAAATATTATAAGAAAACTCTATGGAATCATGCTACTTTGTAACAGTGGTGCCGCCAAGAGACAGAATCATGGTGTTTTGGTTTTGGTGCACTAGGGGGGCTGGGTTATGAGTTGGGCTATTAACTGCAAGGCAAGTAATTCAAACCTAACAGCTGTTTCGCAGCAGTAAAATGAGGCTTTCTGCTCCCATAAAGATTTACAGCCTCAGAAACCCTATACAGGGCTACTGTCAGTTAGAAATCTTGGGAGTCATCCTAGAATTCCACCTGCCACCTGCCCTGAGCTTGGTCCTGGCTCACCTCTGCCTCTTTCCCTGCAGAAGACATCTTGGGCATGGAGGCCGAGAGACCCTGGGAGTTTGGCCCCAGCAGCTCCTGCCGCACAGTCGTGTTCCCACTGCTGACTTCTGGTTCTGCCTTCTGGCTGCTCAGGATCTGGGAACAGCTGGGGCTTTGGCCTGGCCGGGTAAGTGGCTACATGCTGCTGGTGGGGCCCCGGCTCCTCCTCACCGCCCTCTCCTTTGCCCTGGATGGGACCGTGTATCACTTGGCCCCGCTATTGGGGGCAGAGCGCTGGAATGCCCTGGTCCTCTTGGCTGGCTCCTACGTCACCCTGGTCTTCTACACAAGGACCTTCTCCAACACCATCGAGGGACTGTTCTTCGCGTGGCTGCTGGTGCTCGTGTCTCCCCGCCTAGCTGGCAGACTCACGTGTAAGCAGCCTGCTCCAAGTCCCTGGTGGCACAGTTGGCTTCTTGGAGGTGTCGTGGCTGCTGGCTTCTTCAACCGCCCCACCTTTCTGGCTTTTGCTCTGGTTCCCCTCTTCCACTGGGCCCTTGGTGGAACCCTGAAGCCTGGTTTCAAGTCATTGACCTATAAGACCTTGGAGTTACTCCCAGGGGCAGCCCTCACAGCAGCAGGGTTTGTGGCCGTAGACAGCTGGTATTTCTCCAGCCCATCTAGAGCCAGTGCGCTGGTCCTAACACCTGCCAACTTCCTGCACTACAACCTGGATCCCCAGAATCTGGCCAGACACGGTACGCATGTGCGGCTCACCCACCTGGTGGCCAACGGTTTCCTGCTTTTTGGGCTGCTGCACGCCCAGGCCTTACAGGTTATGTGGCAGCAGCTGCAGACCTGCACCCGTGCCTTTACACAGCTAGGCCTCCTGAGGGTGGTGGGTGCCCAGAGCCTGCTGTCCAGCCCGAGGTCTTACCTCCTCCTCCTCTACTTCACGCCACTGACCCTGCTGTCTGCCTTTAGCCACCAGGAGGCTCGGTTCCTGATTCCCCTCCTGGTACCATTAGTCTTGCTCTGTAGTCCTCAGACCCAGCCTGTGCCCTGGAAGGGTACTCTGGTCCTCTTCAATGTCCTGGGGGCCCTCTTCTTTGGCTGCTTGCACCAGGGGGGCCTTGTGCCTGGCCTGGGACACCTGGAGCAGGTAGTTCATGCACCTGTGCTCCCAAATGTACCTACCCACTACACACTGCTCTTTACCCACACTTACATGCCCCCACGGCACCTCTTGCGCCTCTCGGGCCTGAACTCACCTGTGGAGGTGGTGGACATGGCTGGGACAGAGGACTGGGTCCTATGCCAAGCCCTGAACAACTTCACTAGTCAGCCATCTTGCCAAGCGGCTGGTGGGCCGTGGATCTGCCGACTCTTTGTGGTGACCCCTGGCACCACCAGACCTGCCATGGAGAAATGTGGCTTCCCCCTCAAGAATGAGATGCTTGTGTTTCCTCATTTGACTATGGAGGACCCACCAGCACTGTCCTCCCTGCTGAGTGGGGCATGGAGGGACCACCTCAGCCTTCACATCGTGGAGCTGGAGGAGAAGCCAGCCACTGTGACAGAGCAGCCACTGCCCAGAATGCAGTCATAGACTCTTGTCTCCACCTTCTGAATGGGCATGAATGGGCAGCCAGACTGGACAGGACCCTGAATCTCTTCCTTTCCCCTCCAGATACCCACCACAGCTGCTCCTGGGCACAGCTGTTGACAACTTTACCTTTTCCCTCTGAGATCCAAGATCAGATCCATCACCGACCTGATTGATGCCAAAGTCCTCAAAGGATCTTGGGCGTAACCAGTGGCACCTACCGTCTCTTACTGCCCTACTCCTTCCAGCCACTGTGAAGTATTAAATATATCAGAGTGCCTAGTGTGAAAAGAGATGATCTGCTAATGACATTGCAGAGTGACCTTTCCCAGACCTTTGATGATGCCTTACTTCTGTTGGTGTTATAGTCCTTTGGCTTCCTAGATACCTAGAAGGTCTCGTGATGAAATAGAGCGTGTACCACAGATGCAGGGATCCCACTTCTAGTCCCTGGTCTGCCCTTCTCTGAGCAGATTCTTCCACTCACCTATCCTGAAGGTCAGAAGGTCAGCAGATACTTCTGAAGTATCTGGTGTTCACCATGTCATTCCTGAGCCCTAACTGCACAAGTGTAGATGTGGAGGTGTTTTGTATCTAGTGGCACTTTGTTGCCTGCTGTTTCAGTGTTTGGTTATTACCAAAATGGATCATTTCTCCCTGTTCTCTTCTATTCCAGTCCCCGACAGAGGTGGTTGGAACTCGCCAACCATTTCTGCACCTTGTCTTTGAAAACCATCTTCCCAGGTTGTTGTTGTTGTTGAGTGCCATTGAGTTGGTTCCCACCCATAGTGACTCTGTATAGAATTTCCAAGGTGCAGCTGGTGAACTTGAACTGCCGACCTTGCAGTTCAAACCCAGCACATTAACCTGCATGCAGCGCCACACCAGGGCTCTGTCTTCCCAGGTTAGGAGCCTGGATAGTCCCTCCCCAGCAGTGCTGTCTGGACCCTCTCAAGCCTTCCCCACTTAGGACAGAGAAAGTGCAAGCTCATTCAGACTCTGGAAGCACTGGAGGACAGCCTGGTGAGCCCAGAGGCCTTTCTTCTTCAGTGGGTCCTGAAAGCCCATCTGAAACCTCTCTTCACAAGATGGCAAACCCCATGCCAAACCAATACCTTCTGCTCTAGTGGGAGCCCTCATTCACTCTGGCGCATTGCTCCCCACCACACAGGGTACTTCCATCCAGACTACTGGAAACTCCAGGAGCTGTGGTGGGTTTCCTAAACCTGTCTTCGTCCTCGCTCCCACACTCCCATCATCCTATTTGATAACACAAGGCACGGAGGGCCCAGAAAGGCTAAGTGACCTAGAGGTCAGTGTGGAGCAGGAGACCAAATCTATGCAAATGACCAAGGCAAGTGCACTGTTCTAGTTCTGCCTTCTGGCTAAAGCCTTGGTTCGCCCTAAAGTCACAAAGCTTGAAAGTGTGCTGCTCTGTGGTTGCTGCTTAGATTCCACAACCTTCTCATGACCCCAGTCAGTGCCACTGAGGAAGAGGAAACATTGAACACCCCACTCCAAGATTTGTAGTGTTGGCCAATTTCTGTGGTGTAAATACTCTAACTATAGCCAAGTTCAAGACAGTAACATGTCACTGAACACAGAGTTGAGACAAGATGCCATCAGTCTGCTCTCTTGAGCCAGTCTGAGCTGACTCCAGCACGCCACAGCGCGTTTTCCTCCTGTGAGCCCCATAACAGCATTGTTCCTATGGTTTATGCCTGCCACAAACCTCTGATTCATCTTCACATCCCCAGTACTAGCATTGTATATGGCATGTGGCAAGCATGTGTTGACTTTGCAGCCAAAGATGGCTTTCTGCACAACAGATTAAAAAGCCAAGTGCCACCTTGGAGACACTCCAGACTCTAGGACTTCAAATTCCCCTCTGGGTTTCTGGGGACTCTTTGTCTTCCCACTCCAATTGGGCCCATCACCTCAGAATCCCCTGGAGGAATTGTTGGTATAGTAGTCGGTGTGGAGTGTGGTGGACCCTGACTAATAAAAGAAATGTGTTTGTAAAGAGCTGCTACCCTGGTATCTGTCTGTAGCATGAAGGGATGAGTCTGAACCAACCTGTGGGATAGGGGGTTGAGTTATTTCCCTGCTTTACCTGTCAGGGCTTGGAAGAGCTTGAAAAGTCATGCTGGGAAGCTGTTGGTGCCATGGTAGAAACAAGTCTGTTTCTTCAGTAATAGCAGACCACTGGGGAAAAGAGTAGTCTCAATCACCTCTAGCTGGAGTAGGAAAAGAGGACCAGCTTTTCTCTATCTGCTCCCAGATCCCGTCTACAAAAATAGAGGAAACTTAGTTCTTTCTTGTATAAACTTGTATAAACTTCCAGAAAATAAGGAACCGCCCGTTCTCTTGCTTTCCTTCCTTTCTTACCAAGTGGATGAGTTGTGTCTGGAAGTTTCACTGCTTCCTGCACTGTTCCCCTTTTGTCTCCACCAGTCAAGAAAAAGATGTAACAGTGTGTTTGTTTTTGTTGGATATAGGAGGCTGGGCTGAGGCTGCTAATATTCATCCAGAGACCAAAGAGGCAGACAAGTCAAGGGAACAGGAAACAAGCTCCTCAAGTTCCCACTGCTAGGCTCCAAGGAGATTCCCACTTGCCCTGGAGAGACAGAAAAACAGTGAGAGGGCAGGGTGCCTAATGATCAGGACTTTTTGGTCACTAGGAGAGTGGGGGACCTTTGACCTCAGAAAGGACTTAATAATAGCACCTCTAATGGGAGAATGGAGGGTGGGATGCCAACTTCAAGAATAATTACTTTCAGAATGATCAGCACAAGGTCGGTCTCTATGAGGTAGAGGTTAAAGATATCCCAAATATCCAATTTTTCCTAAATGTTTCACTCCATAATTCCTGATATCAAGCCACCACCCTCAGTATTCTCCCCACCATGTCCCAGGGTTCCACAATCTACTGCAACATCTCACAGAACTCACAAACTGTCATAGAAATGGCTCATGTGGTGGTCGAGGCTGGCAAGGTCCAAGATCACAGTTCAGACATCAGTCTGGAAGGGGGGATTCTCCTCACACCAAATCAGTCTATTGACTCACAAGGCTGTGGAAGCTGTAGAATTGGGTCAGGTGACAGATTGTCAGCTCAAGTCCCAAGAAGCAGAAGTCAGGTGGAGGAGAGCTTGGTCAGTGAAGCAAAGGAGCACATCAGGACTCATGCACAAGATGGCTGGCTGACACACCAACTCAGCTACTTTGTTTCTCTATTCTTGTTAGAAATAATAACTGTGTAACTACAGCTTGAAAATATATGTTCCTTTTAAACAAGGATAGGGCAGGACCTTGAATACATCCTTTGACCTCAAGTCAAAGAAAACAACTGATTTCAGCAAAACTGAATGTTTCTTCTCTCCTCTGTCTCTTTTTTTTTTTAATCTTAAACATTGTGTTTTAGGTAAAACTTTACAAAGAAAATTAGTTTCCCATTCAACAATTTATACACAAATTGTTCTGTGACATGGGTTGCTGTCCTAATGTGTGGGCGTTCTCTCCATGTCCACCCTGTCTTCCCTGTTTCCATCCATCCAGCTTTCCTGCCCCTCCTTGCCTTCTTATTTTGCTTTTAGGCAAATTTTGTTCATTTGGCCTTGTACAGTTGATTGTTGTACAGAGCACTTTCCTCACAGTTGTTAGTGTTTGTCTTATAGGCCAGTCTATTATTTGGTTGAAAGGAGACCTCCAGGAGTGGCTTCAGGTCCAGGCTAAAAGAATGCCTTAGGGCAATAGTCTCGAGAGTTCCTCCAGTCTCTATCAGTCCACTAAGTTTGGGAATTTTATGAATTTAAGTGTTGTCCAATATTTTCCTCCCATTCTATCTGGGACTTTCTATTAAGTCCCTCATCAGAACAGTCAGTAGCAATAGCAGGGCACCATCCAGTTCTGGTCTTTGTTTGTTTGTTTAAAAGTTTAAATAGATTTTATTGGTACAAGTCAGGGTCCCACCAAGCAGGCCTTAATAAGCCCATAATATCCATGATCCCATGATTTGATGATTGCAGAAGAGGTCACTGTAATGAAGGACATGATCCAGGGAGGGCCAGATAGAAATGTAGGAGGCATGATGAGATGGTTCAAGACGGGGGTCCATGGGGGCCTCAGTGTGGGAGAAGCCTATTCCCTTCACTCCCACTTGTTATAGCGCTCCAGGTGTGACAGGACGCAGCCTGATGGCACCAGGAAACACGGGAAGCAGGATGTGAGTCCAACAACATAATCCATGGGCCACAGAGGCTTAGAGTAGATATGAGCCCACCAGACCCCGCAGTAACAGCGGTGTCAGTGCAGACTGCACAGAGCTGTCAGCAGTGCCCAAGCTAGGAAAGTCAAAATGGTGGTGCTGGCCAGACGTTCCAGAGCTAGTTCTTCTGGTCTTAGGTTACAGGAGACAGTGATTTGTGTGGGATGTTTGTCCTATGGACAAATTGTTTCCATGAGACTTTAGCTTTCTTCACTCTCCTTTGCTTTAGTCTTCAATCTCTGTCCTAGGAGGTATTTGGATATATCTAAGAAGTTTCCATAACTGTGACCACTACATACTCTTATCATGTATATGAATATATATGTTGTTATTGTTAGGTGCCATGGAGTCAGTTCTGACTCATTGCAACCCTTTACACGACAGAAGGAAACACTGTCCGGTCCTGCACCATGCTCACAATTGTTATGCTTGAGCCCATTGCTGACCCACCTTGTTGGGGGTGGTCTTCTCTTTCATTGACCCCTCACTTTACCAAGCATGATGTCCTTTTTCAGAGACTGGTCCCTCCTGATAATATGTCTGAAGTATGAGAGATGAAGTCTCGCCATCCTTGTCTCCAAGAAGCATGTTGGTAGTATTTCTTACAACACAGATCTGTTTGTTCTTCTGGCAGTCCATGGTACTTTCAATATTCTCCTCAAACACCATAATTCAAATGTATCAATTCTTCTATGGTCTTCTTTATTCACTGTCCAACTTTCACATGCATATGAAG